GAATAGTGGGATTGACCGTCACATTATAACGCCCCCACGGCTGAGAGGGCGAGCATGTTTGGTGGGACGGGGATTCGAACCCGCAGCTTGCAGGTCGAGTGCCCTAACCACCTGGCCATGCCGGGCCGTATTCAAAGTAGTTATACTTTTATTACCAGTAATATTTCTTTAGAATTTATTATCAGATATCTTACTTCCAATGACAGATCTTGCAAAACATGTTTGTATGTAAATATCATAAGCACATGACTTGATAGCAGAGTTCCGTTATAACTATAAGTTACTTATCTGTACCAAATACAGTGTTGGTTTTAAATTTGGACTCTATGGTACCTCTCATTTCACTATAAAGACAAAAGTACTGACTTATAACCTGAGAATGTAATTTACTGTTCATTTGGAATGTGCTTTCTGAGCACATGGAAACAATAAACTGATCTGAATCTTACAGTGTTTAAACGTCGCTTGAAAAAAAAAAAATTGTCGAATATTCAGAGAAGAAAAACGGGACGGTAGATGTCGCTGACCATGGTTTTGCTAGTTTTACATACACTGGAACAATTTGAGCTGTATTCAAGGAGTAAGTGGCTTAGGAAACGGGGAGCCTAGCCCCCACTTTTCAAGTTGGCTAGGTCAAATAAACCTTGCTCCCCCTCCTGACAAGGCAAATAAAGTCAGAAGTACCTCATATCAGATTGGACGTCTACATGTCAAACGGCATATTTTATTCAAGTTGGATAGGTGGTACTAGAAAGACGTTTACTTACCATAAGGTACATACTTATTCAAGTTAGATCGATTGTATACCATGAAGACAAAGCTTTTGTTTGTATGTAGTTAAGCCCAAAGCTACATAAAGAGCTATCTGTGCTCTGCCCACCACGGGTATCGAAACCCGGTTTCTAGCGTTATAAGTCCACTGGGGGGCGGAGACAAGGTTTTAAGTTTAACAGTTTCAACTTTAGAACAATACAGTTTTTAATTTACTTCTATAAAATAGTTTACACAACCATAAAACGATCATTACAGTGGGAAACTTTGAATAATTAAATTAAAAGTCATTCTTGCGGTAGGTATTGTTGGTAGTTTCGCCTTTGCCCCCCCCCCCAATGGCACAGCGGTATGTCTGCGGACTAACAACGCTAAAAACCGGGTTTCGATACCCGTGGTGGGCAGAGCACAGATAGCCCATTGTGTAGCTTTGCGCATAACTTCAAACAAACAAACAAGTTTCGCCTTAATTAAATACAAAAATAATAAAATGTTGTGTGTGTGATTAAAACGTCCCCCGCTGGCTCAGCGATAAGTCTACTGCTTTACAACGCTAAAATCAGGGGTTCGATTCCCCTCGATGGACACAGTATATAGCCCAATGTAACTTTGCTATAAGAAAAACACACACACACGTGATTAAAACTCATCTTCCATCTTCAGCGCTAAGTTTGTTGATAAACAAATCTCCCAATGTCAGGTTTAGTTTGAGGTACACAGTAAAGACAAGACACTTGAAACTGTATTTCAGAAATTTGAAGGAGAACAGTTTTTTTTTCATAGTGGTAGCAAATTCCAATTTTATATGCTGGTTCTCTAGAGTGGGACACGGTATCGAAGGAGTTAAGAGATGTCTTTAGCATTACAAAAAAATTTTATTCTACAAGATTTGATTGGTGTATTATATATGTACGATTGCTTGTTTGTTTGTCTTATAACCCACCAATAGCCCCAAGTGCGATTTTGTGGCAATAGGACCTCGGGATTCACAGTCCGGCCTATAAGTGTACAAAGTGTCTAAACAACAAGATAACAATACATCGTATTTTTGTGAAGTTATAGTATAGGCTGTTAACCTTTCTGCATAGTTACGGAATATGTAAAGGAAACAGCTGACATCTTCCACAAAAACTTCTCGATACTTTTGGAAATTTTAGAAAACGAACCTTAATTTGGCTTAAGGTGTATATTATATAATCAGCCGAGGCGTTTTTGGTATGGTTCATGGCGTAAAATCCAATCACGTGGAAAAAAAAAGTGTAAAGTTTTATCAAGAGGATTGGTGCACCTGGAGTTCAACGTCATCCCACGTGCAGGATGCTAATCACCAAGTGGTGTGTGGAAACTGTATGCCTACCATGTGGCACACGCATTATAATGTGCCTTTTAGGTGTTCTACAAGAGACGGTTAAGTTTTAGTAATATAACGCCATTTTTTACCCAGACTTTTAACATTACAGCTTATTTATGTCCAACAATATTTCTTTTTTTGTGGGAGGGGGGGGGGGCGATTTCTAGTTATACTTTGTCCTCCTTTATGCTTCGTAATACTAAAATTTTAATACACTGCTAGATATTGTGTATTTTTATATTGAACGTCTTTTGTTCATTGTTGACAAACCAAAAAATACTGAATAATAAATACAGTTCTATAACACAGATCCGTAATCGCATAAATCTTTATCATGTTCATGTATGTTTGAAAGACAAACAAAGAATAGGCTTACAGTATTAGATATAACTTCTGTACGGATTAAAAGTCTAGAGTCTTCAAGGTAATTTCTCCTTAATATTTTTTTATTTATAACATTACTGAGCCCACACAATGCCATGCTTTTTCGCCAACATATAACTATATATGATAATCACACAAAGACAAGCAGGTTAGAGGCCGCCACTGCCGGACGTGAGGTGGTTGCCCTAAGAACGTAGCTCGTAATGCAATTCGTCGAACTCTAAAAAGTATATCTAATGCTTACCCTGATCAAAGCGGTGTCGATCCCGAATTTTCTGTTTGTTCGTCGTTTATCCAATATAATATTTATGACACAATCAAGTTAGTTCGAGCCGATTGTCAGGAGCCCAACATCGTAATGATTTTACACTCACTCACATACACTGTTGCGTTTGTAGAAAGTTGACAAACACACCACTACTCTCCACTATAGACAACAGCTTACTAGCACCTGAGCAACGGCGTCGTTGTGTCGCCAGGTGACGCGAAAAAATAGCGCATGCGTACTAACATGACGTTTCGCTGTGTCTGGCAGGTTTGTCGTGTTTAAAAGAGTTAATAGTCTGTTGACTTAATCATTCTCAGACTTGTCAAGCGTAAATAAACTCACATCTTCATCAAAATCCTCTACTTTTTGAAAAAGGACTCTAGTCATTTAATAAACTTGAGGTGTTAACATTTTGTTCACTTCATACTCACATGCATCGAGGTCAGACGTAATATACTGATTTTCCAACAGTAAATCCACAGTATAAAATCATAAATAATATTCAACGTTAAACTGGTA